CAGTTTGGCTCTTGCTCGTACTCCAGTGCCCCTAATTGCACAGCTTGTGTGGGATACTGCTAAAAACACTTTACCAGGATGCCTGGCAAAGAAAATAAAGCACAATCCGCAAATATTTCAAGCAGACTGAGAACGGGAGCTGAGTGCATCTTCCCTAGGACCTGTGCTTTGTGGAGAGTCTAGTGCTGGGGACGTTTGAGCAGCTCCGTAGCTGATAACATTGTTCAAGCTTTCTCTTTATCTTGCAGTGCAAAGAAAGGAAGTGCAAGCCCGGGCCGTGTTCTATCCCCTGATGGGCTTAGGCGGTGCAGTTAACATGTGCTATCGAACCCTCTACATTGGGACAGGTGAGTGGGTTTCTCCAGCCCTGCTGTTTCGGACTCGAGGTGGTTCTCGTGGGCCTTCCCCGTGCGGTTGTCACGTGGGTGTTGAAGCAAACAGCCCCATTCAGGCTGTTGGTGCTGAGGGTTCTTCACAACCAAGAGCGGTGGAAACCCCCCGTCTGCGGTGATGCTCCTCAGGCCTTTGGTGCAGGGCTGCACCTTGGACACCCAAACGGAGCAGCACGGCTTTCCTAGAGCCTGAGCAGCTGAGGGGAGCGTTAGGGTTTGCTCGTGGCTTTCCTTTCTTTGTGCTCGGATTCCTCCAGCACTCCAGCAAGCCCCGGAATTCCGAAATGCTCTCCAGCCTTGCTGCCTTCCCTGCCCCCACGGCCACTTGCTTCCGTGCTTATCGCAGCATTATTCATGCAGTCCTGGGAGCCTGGACAAAGGCACTTGCTCCCCTGTTGTTCTGCTAATTGAAGCTTAATTCTGTCTGTTGCTTTCTGCTGCCTGACAGTTTCTTTTTATATGTGATTTTTTTTCCCCCTTTAACAAACTGAGCCTGTTTTATATTTTCCACTGAAGGAGCTGACATGGATGTGTGCCTTACAAGCTATGGTCACTGTAACTACGTGTCCGGCAAACACGCCTGCATATTCTATGATGAGGTGAGTGCCTGGAGTCTTTCTTTGCCGTGCACGGCGCTGGGAGCTGGAGATGCAGGCAGCAGGTTGGCTTTGTGCGCTGCTCCTTTGTGGGCCACAAAATAAGAGCCAGGATTGGAAATGGTTTCCCTCAAATGAGGGCTGCGTCAGCATTTGCTGTCAAACCCTTTTGGGAAGCACAGAGCTCAGCCAGCGTGATTTCTCCGAGCTAACTGCTGCTGGACAAAGGCTGGCCACAACTGAGCACTGTCACCGCTGGCATCTGCGGAGAGAAGGCGGCGTAGAAATGTTCAATATGTTTTTGATGCAGCTGCACTGTTAATAGGGGAACCTTTACATGCCTGTACAGAATCTCAGCTGGAACAAGATGGGGAATTGATTTGTCTCCTACTTCAGGTGTGATAGTAGTGCAAATTACTTCTGCCCATCTGCAGTGCTCTAAATTAGATAACTAAAAATTTGTTAGTTCTAGGCAGAGACCTACAGTTGCCTCCTAATTACAGTCCACAAATAGGTTTGTTCTGGAAGCAAGACAAGGAGGTCTACCAAAAAAAGTGCTCTCTGGCAGATGTCTCTTAGCAGTGTTGAAACAAGGTGCAGGTTTTGGTATTGCTGTTTGCCAGGTAGCTCCTGAGCAAGGTCCAGATTAACTTTCTGTAACTAAACGAAGCTCCTGTAGTTTGTTGAGGACAAGCTCCTCAGACGGTGCCTGTGAGCGAAGCTGAAACCTCCGTTCAGGCCACGTCCTCCGCAAAGCTCCGCGTGTCCCAGCAGTGTCTCCTGCCATCCCAGGGCTGCCGAAGGACCGTAAACCCAGCGCTGTCCTCTCCAGGGGTTGCTGCATGCACACGTGTCCCTCTTGTCATAAAGTGTTTGCTCAGTGACCAGAGGGGTCCTGTTTCAGCCCGGGGCAGGTGCCTTCCTGACCCGATGCCTTGATCCTCTCCTCTTCCCTTTTTTCCAGAATACAAAACATTACGAGCTGTTGAACTACAGCGAGCACGGGACGACCGTGGACAATGTTCTGTATTCGTGTGACTTCTCGGAGAAGATGACGCCCACTCCTCCCAGCAGCATCGTTGCCAAAGTGCAGAGCGTGATAAGTGAGTGTCCGGCAGCGCCAGCCCCACGGCCCGGCACGGAACCCCCCGAGGGGGGGACAGCAGCGGGATCCGCTCCTCGCCGGAGCCGCCGCTTTCGCAGTGCTGGGGCTACCTCCTGCAGAAGGAAAAGCCTCTCCGCAAACCGCCGCTTGCACAAGAGCTTCCTGTGCTCCCCGGCGAGCAGAGGCCCTTAACCCGGCTCCTGCCCCGTGCAGGAGCCACCCGGGTCCCGCTCCCTTCCTGACGGCAAGAGCCGCGTTTCGAAGGGCGCCCCGGGGTCTGGGGTTTGCTGCGTGCACGTTCTGCCCTCCCAGGTGTCAGTACGTGGTCTGGGCCGTGCCACGGGCCCCCCGACCCGTTGCCTCGGTGCATTCTCCACCTTGCTCTTTTCTGGCTGCCAAAACAGGTGTGTGGATGTTTCTTCTCCACCCCGCTGTGGCTGTGGGGCGGCTCCTGGTCCTCTTGTATCCAAAAGAAACATCCCGGTGGCCTCCTGGCTACAGGATGTCATTCGTGGGCCACCTCAAGAGTAGCCCCTGTCTATTAGAACGAGCTGCCACCCCCCGCTCTGACTCCGATGCGTTCGTTTTCTTTTCCAGAACGGCACAAAAGCAGAAAACAGGAAGAGGAGCCGCATGAAGAAGCAGCTGTGATGAATTCGCAGGCCCAAGGGCAGCATCGGAAACCCTGCAACTGCAAAGCCAGCAGCTCCAGCCTGATCGGGGGCAGCGGGGCCGGCTGGGAGGGGACGGCCCTGCTGCACCACGGCAGTTACATCAAGCTGGGCTGCCTGCAGTTCGTCTTCAGCATCACCGAATTTGCGACCAAACAGCCCAAGGGGGACACTGCCTTAGTACAAGACATGGACTTGGAGGAGAAGCTCTCTCTAAAACCCCACCAGGTGCCCGTGCTGCGGTCCAACTCTGTTCCCTAGGAGTGCCGGGAGGAGAGCTCGGGAGCAAGGAAACGCCCTCGGACTCTTGCCATGCAAAAATGTACAAACCAAGGTGGGATTTTCTATGTCGGCCCAGAGACTGATCACACGCCGTTTGCATGAAATGAAGAACGTTTAACTTTTTTTAATTTTCTTTTTTGCTCAAGTTTTAGGGGCATTTGCACATATATTTGTACTATACATTTCATTTTAAAAGGAAAACTGCAGTGAGAGCAGGACGCGTCAGAGCGAGGGGTGACCGCTGTCTGACTCAAGGACTCTCTCTGACAGATAGTTCCCATGCAGTTGTAAAATAATCAGAAACTTGTTCTATTTTGTGCCAGTGACAATAGTTTTATATTAAAAGAGAAATACAGTTTTCATACAGCAAATCTATACAATATCATTGTTTTATTTAATGTAAAGAAGCGCTCTTCTTCCCACAGTTATTTTCTCCCATCCCTCCCTGCTATGGTTGCACTACAAGTAGCTACTGTGTATTATGGGCAGTGAGAAACGAGTTCTTTTCCTGGTGTCCATCCTATTTTTATTTGAAATAAGGAAAAGTGTTGGATTCTGTGTAAATACATCAGTGATGGCATTTTCAATGTTTTAAAGCTGTGTACAGTGCTACATGTGGTATGACGTTCCTCAACTTGTCTATTGGAGCAGATCGTCCGTCGTAACCTGTCTGTCTCTTTTGTTTATATGCCACCCCCCCCGCAGCAGAACAGCTAGTTCCACTGTACATAGTAATTGTAACGTTTTAGACTTTACAGAAACTTTCCTGTATTCTGTATATAAAAAACAAAAAAATACTTCACATTCTGTTTGCCGACTGTCTGTCTGCACTCTGTGAGCAGGGCCAGGGCTCGGCCGGGGACAGGGGC